GTCGGAATGATCCGTCTGATAGGATCGCCTTGACCCAGTGTAGGATTTTCCCTTGAATCCCGTAAGACTCGAGTTTGTGAAGTAGCAGGACGTGTGGGACCGTTTCAAATGCTTTTGAGAGGTAGAAAAATATGGCATCCGATATGAGTCTCTCGTCCTTGGATTGGGTTAAGCTGTCCATAAACACGAGCATGTTTATCACGCAAGAACGGTTTGGGAGAAATCCGCGTTGAGCGGGAGACATCAAGCTGTTGGAAGTAAGATGATCTAGAATAGCTCACTTCAGAATGCGCTCGATCACCTTGCACGGCACGCTAGCAAGGCTTATAGGCCTGTAGCCAGTTCTGTGGATTGGCGTGACAATCGCTTCCTTCCAAGCAGAGGAAGGTTGGCTTTCGTCAAGCGAGTAAAGAAACACCAGGTATAAACGACTTGCTGGTGTGGACGCCGTTTCCTTCAGGATTCTTGGATAGACCTCATCGGGCCCCAACTCGCAAAATGGGTTCGTCTTGTGTAGGAGTTGAAGAACGTCTTCCACCATGAAGATCAAGTCAATTAGAGACTGCTCGTTGTTACGCCTTGACAGGAGTGCATGTGACGAGGACGCTGGGGCTGAATATATAGGTGCATGGTGTAAACCTAAAGTACAACTGTTGGGTCACTCGTGGGTTCTCCGTTCCTGTCGCTCAAGGATAACGCGGATGGCTTGTTTCCGCGGCGATGTCTCATGCATATGAACAGTACGTTTCTGTTCAGATTCATCGAATCAGGCACATTGAACGTGGGCTTGGTCAGTAGAGGAACTAGAGAGGAATTGTCCTTGGTGGAACAAACGCATACCACATAAGTAGCAGGCGTCCAGTTTCCTTCGCGAGGTCAATGGTGTCTATTCGGAATTTTTCGGAGGCCTAGCTGATTAGGTGGTTTTTTCATGTGGCGTTATAATTTGGCCCCGATAATCCATCAGCATAGTCGTGCGATCCGTCATGGTCGACGGCCGCAAAACGTTCAAAACTGGTTCCATCTTTCGCCCGTGCGAATCGTTGCTGAATTCTTTCATTGTCTTACCTATCTACCAAATGAGTTAACGCGTGTCATGTTATTTTTATACACAAGTATGTCCCATACACGCACTTTCGTGCCGTTGAGTAGTCGCGTTTTAGCAAACATGAGTCACTTTAAGGGAGGATGTTCTCCACTAAAACCGTCGACAAACCATAACACACGTGAGCGAAACGGATGTCCGCCGCATATAAAATATGGAATGCAATTCCACAGCTTGTACGCCTATATTTTACGGGTTTGTAGTATAACTAGGTAAACTGACTGTCCAGCCTCCCCAGCCGTCATTGCGCCAGCTAACTTCCCTGCAGGGTGTACTATTCATTCTTGTTATAAGAGGGTCCCAGCCGGCAGTGAGATCAAGCCCTCATTTCCAACTCGAAAAAATGGTGCACACGATTGCTCTTAATCAGGGCACTCGACAGAAAACTGGCCCTTCTCTTAGCTTACGCCTAGCTCTTTTCAACCCTAGATCCTTGGCAGCCGGGGATGCAACCCGGCCTGCTGATGCTACAATCAAAACCACCACGGGCTCATAAGTAAGCAGGCACACGAGGGAGTCATGCGGCGAAGGTCCATTTCCCAGAGCGACTAAGCTGAATAACCACCCATTGTTGTCAGCTTAGAAGAGCAGAATACGAGTCTTTTCAAGCTGAGTGGTTACGCGGAGGTGAAACCAAACTCAACTTCGTGCTTCCTTTTACCCTGTCCTCTCCAGATGCCATACTTAGTGTATCGTCTATTAGTTTGACGTGTGAAATCCACCACGTTGCTTCTGTCCCAATTCGTAATCCCCGAGACACTTTTGTTTTCCGTGCGTTTGTATCAGCTAGCATTCATTCGTCCTTACCATTCGCTCGTTTATCCCTGATGTCATCCACCCAACTGTGGCCGACCGTATGCACGTGGGACTTTCACAGGGGACCCTGTTTGCTCACTTGGTTCGCACTTTTGTAGTCCAAGTAGACCATTTGTTGTGGCGAGCATCCAATGTCGCGGTTTGTATATTTGTGAATTTGTCTTGCGTTAATATTACCTAAGGAAACCCGGCTTCGACTTCGTTTTACCTTCCCAGGGGTTCTGGTTTTACGCGTCACTCGGCCACGTTGTCCGTTCGCAACGCTTATAATCATGTGACGGACTGTGTAAACTGGATAGACCTTTTTAAAAATCAGGCGTATATCCAGTAGTCACCATCCCGAAGGGTCCAGAAGCACGAAGGCTCATTCGTGCCAGTCTAGGAGGAAGAGCCGAAAACACTGCCCGAACCAGCGACAGATCAATCGAACACAAACTTTTGATCAACATAATGGCACTTGTGGACTCTTGGATCTCAAATGTACACTAATTTAACCGACCATGACCCCGGATCGCAGCTAATACACAAGTGTCAGACTCAGTAACTTCCAAAGACCTTGATGCCTGGAAAGTGGTGGAACTTACGAGAACAGAAAAAGCAACACTTGTGGAATTGGCTACGTTTCTCTTCACTCAGAAGAACACAAGCAAGCAGTAAGCTCCACACACGGGTCATAGAATTCATGGTACAGAATCATCCTTTTGAATATACTGGTGGATAATCCACAAGCAGAACATTGACGGCAGCTACCGAAATTTTCGGCTGAGTGAGAAAACTGCATCCTCAAAAGCCCTTGGTTGCAAACCGAACTTCTGGGTTGCTAAGCCACCTCAGAGTTGAACAAAATTGGCCGGGAACACCGAGTAAAAATCAACAATCGCACTTCGGAGGCCTTTTCCAAGATGGCCAATTTCTCACAAAAGCAATTCACCAGCTCTCCTCGGGGTACCAGTTTGCATATTTCTTGCTGTTAGGTGATCTCAACGCCTCCATGGTGAAGCTCAAACGCATCGGGTATGGGCAGCTTGCAGCGACGCTAACAGAAGTCGTTCAGCAGAGCGCTTGGACCCAACATGTCGCCGCAACCACTAGGCACCTCGCAGGCCATCTAATATTCATCCCTGATTTGGTCATCACGGAAGAAAGACATTTCGTCAATCAGGTGTTGCTTAACGCTCCATTGAAACACAGTGACTGATCTCTTCCGAACTTTTTTGTTATCTGCCAATGAGCCAAAAATCCCGAACCTATAACTGGAGACATATAGGACAGAACATTACGATTAATATAAGCTCGACCTATTCTTCTCCAGCGCCGGTCTCCGTTGGAGTTACTCAGGGCTCCGTTTTGGGGCCACTGCTGTTTCTGATGTGTGTCAGCGACCTTCCAGATATTGCTGCAAGTCCGCGTTTAATTTTTACGTAGGTATTGAAATCCTGTAGTTCCAATAAAAGTACCTTTCAAATGGATGTGGACGCTGCAGAGCGGTGGTTGTAGGATTGTCACCTTTCTCTGAATGACGAAAAGTACCTCCATATGCCATTCGGAGGGATCTCAGCGAATGTCTTTTTTGTGCATGGTGAGAAAGGACCAGAAAACTTCATGAGGATAGACGCCAAAGAGGATTTGGGCATCTGGGTCTCCTCAAACTCGTCCTTCGCCCTGCACCATGAGAGATCGGCTCAAAAGGCGTTCGCCATTTTACTAATGTTTCGGTGCACTTTCTCCCGTATTACTCGGATGGACTTCAAAATACTCTATGGGGCCTGCGTCAGGCTGCTCCTGGAATACGCCAACCGAATTTTCTACTCAAGACGCACGACAGACGCCGGACCCGTGGAAATTTACCGACCAGTTTTGCACAGCGTATTAATGCTTGTTACTTGTACGGGAGACAAAACAAGCGTCTCGTGTTGCCTGACTTCTTTCCCTGGAATATCGTCGCCTCCGAGTGGACCTATTTCCTGCTTATGTCCTGTTTGAACAAAGCCTGGCCAATAGGTTTTTCACCATTGACATGGTAAGAATATTTTCAAACTCAGAGCGCACACATTCACTAGACAATTTTTTCTCGTTTTGGGTAGTAGCTGCGTGGGATAATCTTCCTCCGACGGTTGTCCCCGTTTCCTCTCAACCTCAGTGTAAGGCAATATTAGATGCTTATTTATGCTAGTCCTCGCGCTGGCAAGCATACTGCCCCGCGTTGATAAAATAAAGAGCAGTGCTATGCCCTTTTTCGCTTGTCCTTCAGGTGAACGACAGCCACTGAACGACAAAAACAAAACAGACCCGGGAAACTTGGGCAAAGTCTCCATCCTGTGAATCAATCCTTGAATCCGTGACTTCGCGACTTTCCGATTGGTCGAAATGTTTGTGCTCTTGTTAATGGTGCTCTCTCGACACTTTTCGGCCACGAGTGCTTAGTGTTTGTTGCCACGCTTCAGTATTTTTGTGATTGGCTTCCCGGGGCCGGTAAGCCTCGATTGTATACTGTATGCGGAATATCTGAAGGTATGGTCGGCAGCAATGTCTGACGTTGTCGTAGAGGAATTTCGAAACCCCATGATGTGTATTATGCAGACATTCTTGCGTTGTGATGCCTCTAGTCAAAAGCTGGACAAAAATATCTTCAAAAAAGACAATAACCACTGATACGGAGTCAAGGAATGCTTTATACGCTTAAAAGATCCTTCGGTTAGGTCTCCTAAGAAATTTACTATTGCTCCATCCTATTTTGGAGTGCAGATTACTTATACGTATCCACAATCCAAGGGGAGAAAAGACTATTGAGCAAAGCTGAGTGAAAAGGTACAAAGTGCTGGCGGATGCACCGACATGACTTTGGACTTAGGGTTTTACGTACGTAAAATAAGTAACAATAATAATTCGGCTGTGGCATCGCTGCGGTTCATAGGTGCGTGAAACTCAGAGGGAGCACGAGTGCTGATATGCCTCCAAGGTGCCCAAGCTTAGGCTCCAGCATATTCGCATATATGTCCTAGATTTTTAAACATTGAGTGGAAGGATACGAAAATTTTTGAACAGACCCAAAGAGCTTCTCAGATATCATGAACGTGAGTTATTTGAGTCTAGCAGAACGGTTATTCGGGGTGACGCTGCTGTCAATGGTAGTGGCCAATCCGTGGAATGCCCGGCTGAGTGCGGCGTCACTGGCCCACTGTGAAGAAAAGTGAAAAATCTTGTGTGTATGTTTTTCCTGGGACGGCCGATGCACTGTGCTTTCATTGATACCGGATGGGATCGCAGCGGCGCTGTCCGTTGAGCGAAATGGTTCATGTCGTTAGGGCGCTAATTTACCGGCAGGAAAGTCCGTGGTTTTGAATCCGCTTTCTGCCTTTCGACTCCCCCTGTTTAGGCTTGGGCGACCTGGCAGTATCTTAGCCCTCGTGCTTCCTTCGGGTGTCGTGGTAGCTAAGTACCGGAAGGGTGCTAAAACTGAACGATTTTTCCTGCCAGTTATTGCGAGGCTCTCTAATACGTAGTCCTTCTGCACTTCAGTGAAACTAATGACGCATTGTGCACTGGTCAGCGTGTGGTCAGACAGGTCTTCAGACGTCCATTGTAGAAGGCATTATTCGGTTGTATGCTCTTTCAGTCCTTTGGGGATAATCAGTTACTTAAACCCTCTGGAAATATGTGCCAAGTGAAACTGTAAACCCGGAGTTGGTAGTGCGTGAGGACCACACAGTGTACAAAACATCCAGGTGGGGGTTGCCAACATATCTACAAGGGGCTCGGGGAAGCCATGAAGCGGCTGCCGTTTATCTTTGCAAGGCAGACCAGGATCGACAAGCAAGCAGCGGTATGGCTCCGAGGTCTTTCTTCGTTTTCACCCTCACAAACACCGGTCGATATGGTTAGACTTCAAAATGATTCATTTGGAGTGGTAAGCCGACAATCAACATGACTGACTAGTTGTGCAAGGTATCAGGGACAGCTTATAATTCCTGCTTGATCCTCTGACGTGACCGTACCCGGATTTGCTGCATACAATAAACACTACGACAGATGGGATAGGAGATCAAGGACGATTTTGTTACGGTTCGATCACGCTGCGAGCAAAACAATATGATATGCGGATCGTGGCAATACTCTATTCCCAGCTATGTTGCTTGATCCAGACTCCTAGCACGGTGGATAGTAAGAAGACGAAAAACAGACACAAACTTTAATGATCCAAAAACACGCGATCAACAGGCGATGCCCCGAGCTTCCGAACCCAAGTCAATAAAAAGATGGTATCGTGTAAGTAAGTGGTCGGATTTGAATTTCTTGGAATATCAATAGGCCATTGATTTTTCATAGTTTGACCTTGAAGATGCCGGAAGTTCGCTGGCACACATAAAAATACAGCGTTTTTTGGGGGATATTGATATCCCCAACACCTCCGCTTGTGAAACGTCAGTAACATACTCGACGGGGGTCGACCTGGATACGTTCCGGCTGGCGGCGGCGTCGGCCTGTCCACCGCCTGGGAAGAAGTGTTGGATCTAATACTGAGCTGCCGGTCACACT